GCTTCGTCGTGGAGATTCGAGAGAAATAACGGAAAAATGTCGGATATGAGAAACAAGAGGGTGTGAGAGAACGAGAGAGAGAGAGAGAGAGAGAGAGAAATAGAGCGAGAATGCGTGAAAGAATGGGAGACAGAGCGAAAGGAGAAGAGTAAATAGAGAGAAAAAAAAAGATATTGCGCAGGTATCCATATTTTATAGCTTTTACTTAAAAGTACAGTACACGCAGAGTGCGAAGTTAACTATATTTATAGAGATATGTTGAAACGGTATTACCGATGAAATTATACCGAATTAACGGTAGGCTGGTATAATTGCAATGATTTATCGCTTCGATTATTATTATTATTCTTATTGTCATTACTACTATCGTCAGTAAACATCGTAAACACGCCACGATTAATCGAGAAAACGTTCTAGCGCGACAAACCCCCTAATTTTCCTCGGTGTTGTTAAACGAATAATTGTCCTAGTTTCCCATTTTTATCATCGTTACGACGGAGTCGCCGTTACGCGTCGCGAGTCGCGATTATCATTGAACAACGATGATATACCAGTTATATTCTATCTATTAACGAAAAAAAAAAAAAAAAATTATACCTTGCATGACTACGTAGGGCTATACTGCCGCCGAAGCAATACAAAGAGCAATATAGAGTTAAAAAAAAAAAAAAAGGTAATTAACGAAATTAATGGTACTAAAGGTAAACGATATTAATAATTGAGATGAAAAATGCCGTAGCCACAAACACCTTGTCGACATTCACACGTTTCCTCTATCACCGACACACGTCACACACGATACACACGATACACGATTCACGTACGCGTGATTATAGTTACACCGACTACCCGGCCCACAGAGGACACGAAACAATTACATTCACACACCCAGAGAACACCTGAACACTCTACACGTGGACACTATGTATGGTCATTAATTTATTCTGACCGTAGTGCTAAATGTATTTAGCATTTACGTAGACGACACTAATTGCCTAGGTCGACAGGCTCGTCCGGGGTTCCCGTTGTCGTACGCATCGCCCCCCAAATTCCCGCCGCCCCCGCTCGTCTATTATCTTCCCGGCGAACAAAAGCAAACTGTCCGTCGACGTAACACTTTTTCTACGGGGGCGGTAGTCGCGTAACGACGTGCTCGGCAACCCTGGCCGATCGAATTTCGCCTAATAAAAAAAAAAGGTAGTGATATAGAGTTATCGTAGAGATCGCTAATGTATTTCACTCGGTGCCTGTGACAGCTAAGCTCGCTATCTGTTCAAGAACGAAACGATTGACAATACACTGTTTGATTAGAGAGCAACGTATTCGGACCTGTTCCATCCCTCCTTCGCGGCCATCGTTCCCTTTTTCTTTCACCACCATCCCCGAACCAACGTACCGCGTTACCGGTTTATCGTTCCTTTTCGATTTCCCTGTCGAGGCTCCTCCCATTAACAGGTTCACTGATCCGAGATCGCGTTTTCGGTCTCAGGGTTCCGCAGGATCGCGAAAGGGGGCTCGGATGGTCGGAGCGTTTGGTGCATCGTGATCATTATCGTATCGCACGGAACGAAAATGTACAAAGAGCGCAGTTTGAACCTCGAGTTCTCGAGGCAATTGAGAATGCTAGGTGACATTAGTGTACAAATTACCTTTCCCGATCTAACATTTCGTTCCGCGTTCCGTCGACAAGTAAAGAAAATTACTCATCGACGCCACATTCAAAAATTTTCAGTTCGTTTTAGATCACCGTGGGGTTCTTCGGAGGGAAAAGTTCCGTCAGTCAACCTGTTAAACCTGAAAACGAATTTTCCAGCGAAGGTGGATCACCGTACGAGTCAAAATGGCCCCTCCCTGCTTGTAAAACGATCGGGATGATCAACCCCCCGTATTTTCGTCTACGATTCCTCTCACGTCGGGTAAACACGTTCGACCGACTACGACACGGCTGTTCACGGGTACCACCTGGAACACGTAGTATTAGCATGGTGTGAAAACGATAGTGACGCTAGATGAATTAGCTTTAAGCTTCTTTCTCGCTAAGAGGGAACCTATTATTATAACGAATATTTACATACATTTGTATTATTTGTAAACTAGCGCTAATACAAAACTCCAATTGTGCATCGACACGCGAAACAAGAACCCCCCCCCCTCCCTTATTCCAGCAATCCTGTATACCCTCCTCTGGGCCCACAGGCGCCCGGAACGATGAACAAAAAAAATAACGAAAACCACCCCCCCGATTCCCAGTTCCTGTTCCGCTCGATCGAACGGACGATTTTGTGAAACCCCGGAAACTTTCGTTTCTCTTTTCAGTCTGTAATTCTGCTCTATAACGTCTCGTCTATGTAATCTTCTCTGTATATCGGGCCTTTCCTCCAAAGTAAGACGAAGAAACGATGATGACGAAATAATAAGAACGTGGAATAAGAGAACACATTACCTATCCTGATATGCTTCTCATAGTGTTGGATGGTAACGTTACAAGACAAAAGGGAAAGAAAACGTTAATTGAGCATTGTTATCTATGTAATACAACATAGGATGTTTTGTATTATATTTTCATAATAAATAGACACGTAGAAAAAGACGTATTAACCATACCAGCGTTATGTTTCACTATCTACCGTTCACCCTTAATTTTCTCGAATCCCTGAACGTCCACGGTTTCCCTTATTTTTTTTTTATTTTCACGAATGCCCTAGAACGCTCTGAAATACACGATCGAAGTTAACTGTTCACTCAAGGTTGCGTTTCGTAGTTCACACGGTTCTAAAGTCGCATGAAATATTCACTAGCGTCGAGTTGTAATTTATTACTTACTCTATCCAGCTTCCTCTTTCGTTACAATGCCGAGTCAGCTGTTTGGAAAGCAAACATTATCGAACGACGCAGTCGCTATACACGTAACGCGACTTCTCTTCGTCATTGCTTCGATATTATATAATTATTCTTTCACCGGCGATCCGTGCGTCACGTGCCACGTAGTTAATAATGATTTTTTACGTCAGGAACGAAATTGGACGAGCGTAATAATATCGCGGGACTATTTTTCAAGGAAATGGAACGACAGTGGGCGGATAAATCAAAAGCAACGACGCGGAAAAACGCGCTGTCACGGCTACGAAATATAATAAGTTACGTAAGAGCGACACGTGTTGCGAAGTGTCGAAAGTGATGCATAAGCTAGCCGCGATGGGTTTCGATCGATTCTGCGGTTCAAAGCAGCCAGCGAACTCTTATAATGACAAACGATGCGGAAAAGCAAAGCAGCTGAGAACTGTCTGCTCGAATACGTCGAGGGATCGTGTATAAAAAAGTCAATATCGACAATTTCGGTGAAGCTACAACCCTTGGACCAGTTAAACGATGCACACTGTACTCGGGAAGTGGAAAAAACAGTGGCAATTTCACTGGAAGATCTCCATATCTTGTATCGAATCATTTTCTATCTGAAAAACACTGGCAAATGTCTCCAAACAAAAATCTTTTTAAATGTATTCCCTAATTTTCGTGGGAATTGTTTTCTTTTTAATTTCACGCTTTACAACGGCAATCGTAAAATAATTATGCGGTGAAAATTCCCGTGAAATACGAGCGAAAATGTGCCCAAGGGCGGGAACGACTTTGACACGCCTGAAATTAATTCTCGACATGCAATTAAATAACAATTTAATCTTCGAATCGATAACCTGTTTTAAGCTTCACGTGTCCCGGAGATATCGACGGATCATTGTTGCGTCGTAGCGTTTTATGCGACTTGTTAGACATTCCAGCACGTTGAAGTGGTTCTGTACTACGGTCGACGCGACATAATGATTTTGCGCGGCCAAGTAGCGCAGTCGTCGATGCGCAAGCTGATTGGCGACGATCCAACACGTTTGTGGTAACACGGACGAGATTTTAGATACGTGTTAATACAATTATTTTAAACCAGTTTCGTTCAAAATTCACCTTTTAATATTCTCTGCACCAAAAGAAAATACTGCCTTAATGGAACATCTTAAAGCAGAGAATGATAGAATAAAACCAATCAAATCGAACAGTTAAACTTCATTTTGTGATTAATATGTTAGCTTTTGCTTAACGACTCGTTTACAGTTTTGGTTGAGAATTTACAGGTCCAGTTGCAGACACGATCACGAGTTAAACTGTAATTTATTAATTGTGACTTCATTTTGCGATTAATATGTTAGCTTTTGCTTAACGACTCGTTTACAGTTTTGGTTGAGAATTTGCAGGTCCAGTTCCAGACACGATCACGATTTGTTTCAGCGTTATATTCGCCAGAAACGCGACAGATGTACTCCGAGGAAGGGTTGCGAACAGTTTCGCTATCGAGGCACGTGTTATCTAATGGCTCGCGTCTCTGCGACACAAGAGCTCACGAAAAGAACCTATACAGCCGGTCACGTATTGCCTCTTCCATTTTAAAGTAACAACTTCGGTACCCTTTTCCGCTGGCTGACAATAAGAGCTTGCACGTGTTGAATTCAGGGAGGCAGTCGAGAGGCATCGATGAAGTTCCTGTAAAAGCCAGCGAGAAGCTGCGAGAATGTGGAACGCAACTACGAACCTTCGACGTTAATTCGAAAGTCAACGCGGCCACGAGAAAATATCAATTGTCTCGGCTCGAGAATCTCTGAGAAATATATGAATTATTAACGATAAGTGAAAATTCGAGGTATCGCGGACAATGGCGCGAGTAGAATGCAAAGAAAACGTCATGGAATGTTTCTAACTGAATGGTTTCGATATAATAATATTTAAAACTTGCGCAATATAAATCGATCAAGAATGACGGACGAGACAATTCGCGTGAAACGGTATAATAATTCAATTGTTTTTCGCATTATGATTTACGCGAAAGTGTAATAAAATGTCCAGTAAACGACAGCAATTAATTTTCAATTGTGGAATAACCAATCCATTAAAGTACATTGTATTGTTCGATGGGGACATATGGCAGGCCAGATGCTATATAAAACGATTGTTCCTTTTCGCGGTAAAATAATCGCCGCTTATGATCGGGTGAGTGAACATTTCGGTTAAAGAAATCGATCTAGGAGCGAAGATGAAGTGCACGTTCGTCTTGGTAATCGCGTTCCTTGCGTTGGCGGTACAATGCCAAAAGCAGACAACGTACACGGATATCATACAAACCCACAAAGGGCCCGTTCGAGGCAGACAGGCCGTAACTGCGTTCAACGAATACGAATATTCGGAATTCATTGGCATTCCGTACGCGAAACCACCTCTAGGAGATCTGAGATTCAAAGTAAGACTGATAAAAATAATTTATTCCGCTAAAATTCTACTAATTCTGCTTGATTCTTTTATTGTGTACGTAAAATTGCTGTTTTGTAGGACTCTGTTGAACCAGATCCTTGGACAGAGCCTGTAAATGCCACGGTCGAAGCACCTATGTGTATTCAGCCGTTCCTCCTGGGAACTGCAGGAAGCGAAAATTGTCTATACTTAAACGTATACACCCCCGAAGTAAGTATTTGCGATGTTACTTTAAGAAATCGTCTTGAAAACAAAATGATTCGATGAAGACATTACTATTCGAATTTATACTTCCTTATAGGCTAGCAAGTAAACAACTTACTAAAATTTGCTCTTTAAAAATAACCATTGTTTTTTTCATGGAATATTTTCTTTCGAGATTCTCCTTTTGTCCACAAATTAAAATTATTGAAACGACTGTTTGAGCCACTGCGCGTCGCGTAATACAACCTTGTTGCAAGTATCCCTAACGCGGATCGATGCAAGAAGCGAGGCAGCACAGTATGCTTCTTAGATCAACCTCTTTATTATCCCTAGTGCATTATTTTATTTTACTGTAATTCTGAATCTACTTCGACATTAAAAATATTTATTTTTGATGTGTTCTATGTGAAAAGTTTGCAAAGAATCATCAAATACGAACCACTGTCTATCATCGATGAATTTTGAATAATATGTTACTGTTGTAAAATTGAGTTATGATCTATTCGATTGCCAACAGACTGATTTCGGAGACATGGAAGACTTGAGACCAGTGTTGGTTTGGATATACGGTGGTGCATTCGAACTAGGAGGTATACTACAGGCTATGTACGGTCCTGACTGGTTCATAGAGGACGACATTGTCGTGGTGGCCATGAACTACCGTCTTGGTGCTCTAGGTATTTACGAAGTGTTTAAATTTGAATTTCAAAATTGATTCTGCAAATCGAGACTGACTTCATGACATCGTAGGTTTCCTGGCTCTGCAACATCCTGATGCACCGGGTAATCAAGCTCTGAAGGATCAGATTTTGGCTCTGCAGTGGGTGCAGAAGAACATCGCCAAATTCGGAGGCGATCCAAACAAAGTGACCATAATGGGCGAAAGTGCCGGAGCCGCCATGGTGATGTATCACGTATTGTCGCCTATGTCGACTGGTAAGAACACTGATATCATCTTCGCGGGAATAATTATTTATTATGCCCGGAGAACACTTTCGATTCACTCTGAATCGTTTCTTTTCAGGCTTGTTCCATCAAGCTATCGCTCAAAGTGGTAGCCCCTTGTGTCCATGGGCGTACAAACCACCGACGGTATCTAATGTAGCAGCGTACGAATTAGGAGCCATTTTAGGAATCGCAGCCGCCAATAATACTCATTTACTGGATAGATTGAAACGACAACCGGCCATCGATATAGTACAGGGCTCCAACAGAGTGTCCGTCGCCAACGGATTCGTACGTTTGCAATATTTATTTTACAACGATAGGAATCCTCTTCAGGTAATCTACGCGTTGTTATAGAATCAATTTCGTTGTTAAAGACCCCGATCATCATACCTTTCGCGCCCACGATCGAAGTTGGAACCGAGAACCCGTTCATGCCTCAATGTCCCATATCGCTCTTGCAATCAGGAAAGTTCAACAAAGTTCCCGTACTGCTCGGTTACAACGCTGATGAGACTGTTCTGTTCGACATTGGTAAGCATATAACAATCACATTGGTCTGTGATCGATGTACTATGTGGTGAATGTAAGTTGGAACGTTCTCCATATATTTTTTTGTTTCTGTGCAGCTGGAGAAATTTTCAGAACACAATTGCACGCATTAATGAGGTTCCTCAATAACTTCTTCGATCCATTCGGTTCGTCTCAATATCTCGTGGATGTGATGGACAAGATCGCCAACGGCACTCAGAAAGAGATGTTGAAGGTTTGTTGTTTCGAGCTCCGTTATTTTCACTTTGATCTGTAATTCATTAATAATTCATTATTCTTATTTCCAGGTGGGAAGTTCAGTTATGTTCAACGCGCCCATCGATCTCACGCAGAAGCTGCTGTCCAAGCACAATGGCGACAAACCTATTTATTACTATCGACTGTCGTTCAACACGCCCAAGAATCTCCACAGACTGATTCAGCCTAGATTAGAAGGTGATTATTTAGTTTCTAAACATCCTCTAATCACATCACATTTTGCCCAACTCCGTCGAGTGCCTCGTTAACGCCGTAATGGCGGTTGTTCCAGGCACGGCTCACTGTGACGATCTTCCTTTGCTGTTCCACGTCGGTTTGTTCAATCCTGCCGATCCGGATGCACCGTACAATCAATACAGCAAGAGAGTCGCTTCATTGTGGACGAACTTCATCAAATACACGTAAGCAAATATTAAATTTCGTGTTCCGGCGGGCGTCTGATTTGTCGGGCAACGGAACGAGTCGTTTACAGGATCCTGTGATTAATTTTACGCGAGTGCATATATTCTGCATACGTTTAGCATATATTTTTAAATTATAAACGCATAAAATCACAGCGCAAACTTTGAATTTCGAGCGGTTATTTGCTTCCAAGAGAGTTGACATAACGACTAGAATTTTATTCTACGTTTTTGATTTATTTTCTCTTTTATTATCTCGGCGATTACAGTATTCTAACGTCGTTTTACGTTTGCAGAGATCCTACCCCGCGTAATAACACCGTGAGCAAAGCAAATTGGGCGCCATCGACCAAAAAGGGAAGGCAGCTGGATATTGGAAACGAAGAATTCAAAATGCACGACCGTCTCGCCGATCACATGGACCACAAGCTTTCACACATGTATTCCACTATATGGCCAACCTGCAGCGAATGCAAACATTCCCATAATAAGCAATAAACGATACTGGAACACGCTACAATACTGTCTGTGACTTCTTAGAGAAAGCACGACCATTTTGAGAAGCGTTTCTTTGTCGACCTAAAGACCTAAAATTGAAATTATAGTTTTTCTAACGAAGCCGTAGCTGTGTATAACTTTTCCATATCAGTATTTATTGTAAGTTTTGTAAAGACATTACATGAATATTATATACGGTGAAGTTGAAATACATTATAGCTAAGTAAGATTGCATCATTAAACTGTACTCTTCGATACACGTTCTTTTTCCTCCCAGATATTTCACACGAAACAATATCAAATCATGTAAATTAAATTGAGATAAATATACTTTTATTTTTTAAAGAAATTTTGAAATACATACGTTCAATTCTAGTCTTGCTGATCGGTTGACAAGTTTTTTGTGACTGAGACTTGTTTCAAATTGGGTGTCTTACTACTCGTAGTATTTAGATACAATAAAATGTCGTTGTAGGAAATATTAAATTGTTTGAATAACCCTCCACCAACTTTAGTATAAAATAATAATATATGAAATTAATTGCTCAAAATTCTAAACAAATTTTAAATCGTGCTAAAGTAGATTCAAAAATATACTTTTGGACAACAACTTTAGTATTTTCATTTCTCAGTTGTTTAATTAATCATGTGAATAAGTAATGTAAATAAGAAAGAACCTAGAAGTTTCTGTTAAAGAAGATAAAATTGTCCTTCAAGTTTCCCCTACTCACAAGCAATTCATATTATTTCTACGAAGTTTCAACACTTGTGTATTAAATACCTACAATTATTCACTGTCAAATTAAATTGATGTATTAAATGTTATTAATTATAAATGACGTGCAGGTAATTCGAATGAAATTCAGTTAGTATTCATAGAGTATAGGTACAGTATAAGTGTGGAATATTTTTGTATGAAAAAGTGTATTTTTTAAGTGTGCCTAGATAAATATGCAAATTTCGAGCAAGCCATATCTATTACTTTTATGAAATAAAAATAGTGTTTGAGTAAAAAATTCATAAAGCAACTCTGACTTTTTAATACACTAAATTAAAAATCTCCCTTAATAAGAATGTGGGATCGGGAAGATAATGACTCCGCTCTGTTCCGTTCCGCACAATTTTATTGTTGCTGTCGTACAACGACGTGACTCGTGGTGCGGGTTACGCTCGACTCTCTGGTACGATCATCGCCACCGTACCAAGAGGCCTTCAAAAACAAAAGACGGTCAGAGACGACGACAACGGCTTTTCGGCTCACGCGGCTCTGGTCGTCTCGTGTGCAACCATCGTCTCGTGTGCAACCATCGTCTCGTGTGCAACCATCGTCTCGTGTGCAACCATACATTGTAGCGGCTTCGAACGGCTAAGGCGTATGTGGTGCCTTGGCCGCCACACTACCCCCCTGCCAGTAATTGGCACAATTACGAAAAATTGACCGACTACATTACCACTACCATTTACTCTATTATATAAAATACGTTATCCTAACTAAGATTTACATTACAGTATTTGAACAGAGTTGAAAAAAAAAGGAATTTACATGGAGTTTAATATATAATACGTAATACCTAAAAATACATGAAAGTACATAAAAGTGATGGATAAAAATAAATGGTATATGATACTTATTATAATAATGCGCAAGCCTTAAGTACTACCGCGTAATTTGAAATCGATCGGGAAAACGTACGCGTCTACCTGAACGCGTAACACGTTGCTGTATAACCGGCGCATTGTCAGGTACGTTTGTTTGTGTGACCGGCTGATTTTCTATGCTCACGGGATCCGGTCTGTTTTCTGCTAGCATATAAGCAGGCTTTAGCCTTTCAATTGATATATTTATTTCCTTACCTCTAATGTTTATTGTAAATGTTTTTTCGCCTCGGCGCACTACGGCGTATGGACCTTCATAAGCGGGTTGTAAAATAGTTTTGGCTGAATCTGTTCGGATGAAAACATGTGTTGAACTGCTAAGATCTTTGAAAACGAATGTACGATTAACGGAATGGCGTGATGCATTAGAGGGACTCAATTTAGAAAAATGGTTGCGTAGTCTATTAGTAAAATCGGAAGCATTTTCTGTGCTTTCCGCTGAATGCGAAGACAAGAACTCTCCCGGTAATCTTAATGGCTCGCCATAAACTAATTCCGCTGAGGTAGCGCCGAGGTCTTCTTTCCAGGCGGAACGAATACCGAGTAGAACCGTCGGAAGTATTTCTGTCCACCTGTCGGATCCGTGGCACCTTATAGCCGACTTGAGCTGTCGGTGAAAACGCTCTACCATCCCATTGGCCGCTGGGTGATACGCCGTTGTGCGAAGGCGTGTGGATCCAATTAAATTGTTCAGCGCAAAAAATAATTTGGATTCGAACTGCCTACCCTGATCGGTGGTAATCCGTACGGGAGCACCAAACCGCGCTACCCAACCGTCATAAAAGGTTCGAGCTACGGTTTGGGCCTCCTGATCGACCATGGGGAAGGCTTCCGGCCACCGCGTATATCTGTCTACACAGGTCAGACAATACCTGAAACCTTCGGACACCGGTAAAATTACTATGTCTAAATGAATGTGTTCGAATCGCGCAGAAGGTTTAACAAATGTAGCCAATGGTGCAGTCACATGACGGGAAATTTTTGATCTTTGGCACGGTATACAGCAACGTGTCCACGTGCGAACATCTCTTTTAATCGACGGCCAAACATAACGTTGCGTTATGAGCTTGATCGTCGCGTTAATACCTGGATGTGATAATACATGTAACATATTAAAAACTGCACGTCGGAAAGGAGGGGTGACATAAGGTCTTACATTCTTAGTCGAAATATCGCAAAAAATTTCGGAAGACGTGCCAGGCAACGAGACTTTGCGTAATTGCAGGCTAGATTCGCTATTCAACAACCGCTGCAACTCCTCATCCTGGGCTTGCGATTTTGCCAATTCTTCGAAATTAATCGAGTGGTTAACCGTTTCCACTCTGGACAGTGCATCGGCAACGACGTTGTCTTTACCGGAAATATGTTGAATATCTGTAGAGAATTGCGCAATGTAATCTAGGTATCGGAATTGTCGAGGAGAGCATTTATCTAATTTCTGTTTGAAAGCGAAAGTTATGGGTTTATGGTCTGTAAAAATCGTGAAATGTCTGCCTTCGAGCATATGTTTGAAATGTTTTATTGCTAAATAGATAGAAAGTAGTTCCCGGTCGTAAGCTGAATACTTCTTTTCGGCAGATCCTAATTTCTTAGAAAAGAATGCTAATGGTTGTCGTTCGTTGCCGACGCACTGATGTAAAACAGCTCCTACGGTGTAATCAGAAGCATCGCAGGTAACCGACAATGGAGCGTTGACCGCAGGATGAGAAAGCAGGGTTGCGTTTGCTAAACTATTTTTGGTATTTTCGAAAGCCTGACGCGCTTCCGAAGTCCAGGCTATCGGGGTCTTGCCCTTTAAATTGCCGGCTAGAAGGTCGTTCAAGGGTGCTTGAAAGCGAGCGGCATCTGGGATAAAACGGCGGTAAAAATTAAGCATTCCCAAGTACTGCCTCAAATCCTTCGCGTTTTTCGGAAGGGGAAATGACTTTATGGCTTGTACCTTGCCGGGCAAAGGTTGAGTGCCGCTTTCATTTACCCGATAGCCTAGAAATTTAACTTCTTCCTGTCCGAACGTGCATTTATTCGGATTAACAACAATGCCATAATCTTTTAATCGTTTAAATAATAATTCTAAATGGCGCAGGTGATCGGCTTGGGATTCTGAGGCGACCAAAATGTCGTCTATATACGCGTAACAAAAATCGAAACCGCGTAAAATTTCGTCGATAAAGCGCTGAAATGTTTGCGCGGCATTTCGTAACCCGAACGACATGTACGGGAATTCAAAAAGCCCGAACGGCGTTGTAATGGCCGTTTTTCCGACGTCTTCCGACGCAACCGGAATCTGATTATAAGCTCGGACGAGATCTATTGTGGAAAATACCTTTTTGCCACTCAGTTGTTGCGCAAAATCCTCAATGTGACGCACGGGGTATCGGTCGGGAATTGTCCGTGCGTTTAACGCTCTATAGTCACCGCAAGGCCTCCAAGCTTCTTCGCCCTTCTTCGGAACCATATGAAGGGGTGCTGACCACGCGCTCTTCGAAGGACAAGCGATGCCCATCTTCACCATCGCGTCGAACTCCTTCTGGGCAGCCCTGAGCCGGTCCGGTGCAAGCCGCCGCGGCTTGCTGGAAACGGGTGGTCCAGGGGTTGTCTCGATGTAATGCACCGTTTGGTGCGTAGTCCTCATCGGGGTGCCGCTAGGCCGTGTAAGTTCCGGCATCTGCATCAGGAGCTGGTGGTAAACGGTAGTCCCTGCTACTGTCTTCACCGACGGCGTTTCATCCTCGGCTCGTGTTCCGCGGACCGTTAACGACGTGGTCCGATCGACGAGGCGACGATTGCGGATGTCCACCATAAGATCGAAGTGATCGAGAAAGTCTACCCCGATTATGGGTTTTGTAACATCCGCAACCACGAATCGCCACACGAAATCCCGTCGTAGGCCGAGGTGCAGGTTTAACGACACTGTCCCGTAGGTGTTAATTACACTCCCATTCGCCGCCGCCAGCTGGTACTCCGATCTTTCTCGCAATCCGCCTAGCAGGCGGCGCGGAAAAACGCACAAATCGGCCCCGGTATCCACTAAAAATTCCGTCTTCGAGCTGTTGTCTAAGATGAAGAGGCGGCGTGATGCTGGATTTGTGTCGCTGGCCGCCATCAACGACTCCCCAGGTCGTTTCCCTGATCCGTGGCGTTCCAATTGCACGGTGCAACGCACCTCTGCGCGACCGGACCGAGCCGCCAATGGTACCAGCATTTCCCTTGATGGTCCATTTGTCCTCCCGCGGGCCGCTCTCGCGATCGCGATAGAGATCGTCTGCGGTAGCGCGAGTTTGGATGATTTCGGTGGGTCCACCTGCGACGGGAAGATTGCCCCTGGTCCACCAAGGATTCACGGATGGCAGAAATTTCCTGCCTCAAGGAAAGAGCCAATTGTGACATCTTAATGTTTAACATGGCCTCGATGCTCGGGCCCGGCGGGGGTATTTGGCAGGATGAAGATACGCTCGTAATCGCGGCCTCCGTGACGTGTACCCGCGGTGTCATCGTATCCGCGACAGCGTCTGCCAACTCTGCCACCTTATCCAGCGGGGTGTCCCGCTGCGTGGCTAAAATCACCTGCATATTAGCAGGTAGTCGGCCCATCCAAAGCGTCCGCAATACACCGTCCGAAAAAGCCGTACCGGCCAATCCGCGCAGGTGACGAAGAAATTGGGACGGTTTTCTGTCCCCGATTTCCTCGTGTTCCAATAACCGCCGCGTTTTCTGTTCCTGCGACGCACTAAGCCGGCGAATGAACTCATTTTTTAGCGTCGTGTACGGATCCGCGGCCGGGGGATTCATGATAATGTCTCTTACTTCCGCGGCGTGTCGCGCACCTAACGCGCCGAGAATGTACCCGAATTTCGTGGTCTCCGACGTTACATTGGATACCTCAAAACTTCTCTCTACCATTGAAAACCACATCTCCGGGTCTCCCGGACAAAACTCGGGTATCCGTACAGCGACGCGATCAACTGCCAACGGCACACCCACGGATGTCCCTGCGTTAACGTTAGGGTCAGTCATTTTACCAGTCTTGGTCACAAAAAAAAAATAGTTTCACCGCACACACACACCGCGCTTACTATTTGTCAGACCGTGTCCTTTTCTTATGTCCTTAACACTATACACTTATTTCTCTACCCTAACTAATATTGTCCGTATACGAAAAATGTCCAAATTTTCTTTAAAAAACTTTACTTGCGCGGCGAGATCACGTCGGGGTCACCAATGTGGGATCGGGAAGATAATGACTCCGCTCTGTTCCGTTCCGCACAATTTTATTGTTGCTGTCGTACAACGACGTGACTCGTGGTGCGGGTTACGCTCGACTCTCTGGTACGATCATCGCCACCGTACCAAGAGGCCTTCAAAAACAAAAGACGGTCAGAGACGACGACAACGGCTTTTCGGCTCACGCGGCTCTGGTCGTCTCGTGTGCAACCATCGTCTCGTGTGCAACCATCGTCTCGTGTGCAACCATCGTCTCGTGTGCAACCATACATTGTAGCGGCTTCGAACGGCTAAGGCGTATGTGGTGCCTTGGCCGCCACAAGAACATTTATTATGCGCAGTTTCTTCTCTCATACCATTCCGTGTGAACTTTAATATCCCTTTTGACGTGAAAGTATGTCTTTTCGCGAAAAAGTGGTTGGTTTAAAATAATTAAAAATAAACGTAAAAATATATTTTATTTGAGCATAGCAACGATGACATTTTGTGTCAATGATAAACAGTTGGCCGGGAAAATCGTCAGTTCGAAGTTGACAGTTATTCTATACGTTAAAAAAAAAAATTGGCACGCTTTGCAAAGTAAATTTAAAAAAATGACATTCGAAGACTTTCGAGTTTGGTGTGAAATTAAATCATATGGACTGAGTATAATCCATGATATTTTAAAAGCAGAGATAAAAGTTGAATTTGTTTGCAAAGCTAACGTGAACAGTCGATGAAATCATAAATATATAAAAAATAAGCCGAAAAGAAAGGATAAAAAGCGTATAGAGCTACAGAGTTGGACTTATAAGTAGAAATAGTGAATAATGGTCAGACGCATCAGCCAAAACGAACTTAATCGTATCAAATGCTACTTTCTAGACACATGACATGTGTGACAGGAATTTATAATGTATAAAAATTAAAAAAAATTAAATATTTACATGTCACGAAGAAGGAAAACAACTATTCCACATATCCACGTAAATATTCGTAACAAACCGGTATGGTTGGACCACGAATAACAAAACATGTGATATTATTATCTACATTTAGCAACATAGAATAATTTCTATAAAAACAATTAATTTTATTATTAAATAAAATTAAATAAAAAAATTTTTTATTATTAAATAAAATTAATTAATTAAATATTACGAGAATATAAATTACATTAAAAAACATTGAAACGTCTCTGCACTACTATTTACCAACATTATGCAGACATTAAACTAGCCAAATGGCATTGACATATTCAATGTACACAGAATGATTCATCGGGTCAGTTGCGACATTATTTGAACATCCAATTGTCAAAATAATTCAATTCTTTCTCGCATTGTGGTGGAAGCGAAAGCGCAATAAAATACGTCGAACCGATGACAGGAAATAATTTGTAATTTACCCAGAACAATAACCAACCTGATAAAAGCCATATCTATAGTAACATATAATGGTGACACGCGTTGCATCTGGCACGGAACATACTATATAAAATAGAAATAATTCACCTGTCGCGTTAAAATAACTTCCACTTACTTCATAGTAAGTGGATACCATCGATTATAGGGAACCGTTTCAGTATCTAAACAGCGAAGATGAAGTGCACGTTCGTCTTCGCAATTAGTCTTCTTGCGACTGCGGTAGTGTGCCAAATATACACGCCAGTCGTTCAAACCGACAAAGGGCCAGTCAAAGGGAAACTCGCGAAAACTGCCTTTCACAGACGCGATTATTCTGCTTTCCTTGGGATTCCCTTTGCGAAACCACCAGTAAAAGATCTCAGGTTCAAGGTAAGAATCACTAAATCTGTCATTCGAACGATACAATTCCGTGTAAAATAAGGTAGCTTTTTAGAAATTTTTTATTTTGGACGAGCATGTAATTTTTTCAAATCTATAACCACTACCTACAGAAAGTATATTGGGCTCCAAATCCACCAGGATTTTAAATTTTAATTTAAATTTTGTAATCTGACCGATACGACTGTCTGTGTAACAAGCACAGACCAACATTCGATTATTAATAATATGAGATAAATTAGATTTAGTTATACAGTTTATTGTGTAATATGTCATTCTTTTACTCGGTGACCGTAGGACCCTGTTGAAGCAGAACCTTGGAAAGAGGTGCTAAATGCAACAGCTGAGGCGCCATTATGTATGCAGACGTTCCTCATTGGGCCCATTGGAAAGGAAGATTGTCTATACCTAAACGTATACACCCCTGACGTAAGTATTCACGACACTACAATGCAATACACTATGCAAAATTGAACATTGCTTATGCACCGAATTTGAGTTAACGTAAATATGCGTTATTACTAGATTGCGGATGTTCATGCGTTCATGGGAAATTTTAATTCTCTAAAATCTACGAAACACACTTAATATGCAAAAATATAAAATCACTCAATGCTAGAACTACCGACAGCCTAGAACTTCATTCTCTTCTAGAAAACTACGGTCAATTTTCAAAAACGTAGTCGAGTAAATTTTTTACAATTTTTATCACAAATGGGTCATTTTGTCTGTTTTGGTACTTTCATTGTTAAAGTAAGCTCTTACTTGGATAATTCAATTAATAAAAATATGAATGTCCATAAACCTCCGCAGTTTAATTATTACGCTCCGTACGGTTAAAATTGAACGACGTTTTCAATTATCAACAGACGCAGTTCAACCAGCTCGAACTGAAACCGGTGTTAGTATGGATATACGGTGGCGGGTTCCTAACTGGAGGCATTCTAAAGCCCATATATGGCCCCGACTGGTACATAGAAGACGACATAGTCATGGTTGCCATGAACTACCGTCTTGGTGCCCTAGGTATTTACAAAACGCCCTAATTCCACTCGATTTTCCACAAATCGGGTACAACCCTACTGACTCTTTGACATCGTAGGTTTCCTCGCATTGGGGCTTCCCGATGCGTCCGGTAATCAAGGTCTGAAGGATCAGAATTTAGCTCTGAAGTGGGTGCGGAGGAACATCGCCAAATTCGGAGGCGATCCAAACCGAGTGACCATAATGGGCCAAAGTGCTGGTGCCTCTTCAGTGGTATATCACACGCTGTCGCCTATGTCGGCTGGTAAGAACGGCTGATACCACCTTTGCAAAATTGTAAATGTGAACAACTAATTATTTTAACTTTGTTTCTTGCCAGGTTTGTTCCATCAAGGTATTGCTCAAAGCGGTAGTGCGCTCTGCCCGTGGGCTTACAAAACACCGGTAGAGTCTCTCGCGGTGGCCTACGAGTTGGGTACAGTTATGGGATTGGTACCCTCCACCCCCGACATATTGCTCAAAAGACTAAAGAAAGCTGACGCCTTCGACATCATACAGGCCGAAACTAAAGTGCAACTAGCCAATTTGATCGTACGTTTCCGATACTAATTTTGGTGATTATTAAACTGTAAAGCTATCGGTTGTTCTGTGTGTCGTTGAACGATTTGTTTTTTCTGTTAAAGACCCCGATTTCAATACCGTTCGCGCCCACGACTGAATTTAAGACCAACAATCCCTTCCTGAGCGATTGCCCGATATCGATGATGGAGAAAGGAAACTTCGCCCACGTCCCCATGTTGATCGGTTTCAATGCAGATGAGGCAATGTTGTTCGCAATATGTGAGTATAAACGTCGCTTTTTTCGCCATTTTCGTTTTAAGCTTCGCGATTTATTCTGATTTGTTGACCACCATTCGTTTCACCCCCCAAAAATGTTCTCTTATTCCTGACCAACGATTTTCATTCACATGTTTGTTTTCTTTCCGTGCTTGCAGTGGCGGAAGAACTGCGCCAAGAGGTGCACATGATTATGAGATCGTGGAACAGTTTCCTAGACCCAGCTGGTTCGACTAAATATCTCGTGAACGTAGCAGATATGATCACCAACGCCACCGAACAACAATTTATAAAGGTAAGCTATCTGTTACTCACGCTAGTTGCTTATCAATTATATATTTATCTATTTAATTTTTCTTATTTTCAGATGGTAAGCTCGTGGTGGTTCAACGCGCCTATCCATCTCACGCAAAAATTAATGACCAAATACAACGGCGACAAACCTGTATATTTCTATCGACTGGCGTACGACACGGAGAAGAATTTCCACAGAATTATCGAATCCCAGTTGTCAGGTGACCAACTGTCCAGTTTTGAGCGATTAAACTATCCTCTGGCTCGAGTACTCCATTACCGCGATATTCTCAATTGTTTTAGGCACTGCTCACTTGGATGATCTTCCTTTGTTGTTCTACATCTCTGTACTGAACCCTTCCGACCCGGAAAATCCGTTCAATCTGTACTGCAAGAGAATCGTCTCTATGTGGAGCAACTTCATCAAATATTCGTAAGTAAATGCATCGTTTCGCGTTGGATCAGTACTGTATTCTGCAATTCACATCGTATTTTCTATTTTAAAATTTAGCGTTCGCTGATCACGATAATACCGATCGAACAAAATTATTTGATTTAGTTTTTCTCCAACGTGAGGATTCTAACGTCGATTTATGTTCGCAGGGATCCTACCCCGAGCAATAACACCGTGAGCAGGGCAAAATGGGTAAATTCTGGCAAAGAAGGACTGCAGCTAAACATTGGAAACGAAGAATTCAAAATGCACAAGCGTTTCCTCGATCCGATGGATGTAGAGTTCGAGCTACTTATCGCCGCCAAATTAACGAACGATAACACTGGCTGCAAAGCCGGCGTCGCGAACAAAGTCGCAGCTCCAGTAACTCAACCGACTACTGTACTGTAATTAATAAATGCTACTAGCGTATTTGCAAACATACTGTTTATGACTTCTTCGATAAAGCGCAACTATTTGATGTTTCATACCTATCATTTTAATGAAACTTTGTAACACATTGGCAACCCAACATTATCTACATTAGCTTCTCGAACAGTGAAAAATTTACGGAAATTCTATGCGCAAATGTGAAATATACGACGTATTTAGTTTTAAACTAAAAACGTTATAATAACATTATATACGTTGAAATTATAATAAATAACTGCAAGATGGCATTTATAAATTGTACATGTTCCTTTTCCATTCATAATACGTTCATAATTCTCATCCTCGAACTCAGTGGTTCACGACTCTGAATTTGACAATCTAGTCGTAATTTTATATTTTAGAAATATTTTTTTTAATAGTTGAACGGATAAACAACGTTAAATAGATGTCGGGTAGCTTGGGTTTTCAAGGGTTAGCGTAATTTCGATTCACGATTGGGAAGACGACGAAACGAGGAGATTCAAAAATGGCCTAATCGAGACCCTTCAGTGGCTGTTCTATCCTTGAAGAAATCATTAAAAAACTCTAAAAAAAGCTCCTCACTGACATCGAATGGTTGTCAAGCTGGTTTACTTACTTCGGGGAAAAAACTAAAAAATATATAAAAACGATTTTACTTATTTCGAAACCCACTTCCTTGGTAGACACTTTAAGTAGACTCGAGGCGTCGAGTTTGCAATGACGTGTCCCACGTATGCTTTGTAACGCAGCAAGGACGACTTTATCGACGAAATTAGATACTTTTGCTACCATTCTATTGACCTTAAACTAGCCAAATGGCGCTATTTAATCATCAAATAAGAATTTACATAGAATGATTTATGGGCCAAGTTGCATATATATTTGTGCATCGAATTGTTACAATAACTCACTTCTTTCTCGCACGACGGCATAGGCGATAGCGTAATAAAGTACGTCCATTCGATGACAGGAAATAATTTGTAATTCGACAGAACAATAACCAACCAGATAAAAGTAATATTTTTAAGTAACATATAATGTGTAATCTGACGCGATACATACTATATAAAATAGAAATGATTCAACCATCGCGTTAAAATAATTTCCACTTACTCGGTGGTAAGTAGATACCTGGATTACAGAAACCATTTTGGGATCCAAACCGCGAAGATGAAGTGCACGTTCGTCTTCGCAATTAGTCTTCTTGCGACTGCGGTACAATGCCACACGTACACGTCAGTCGTGCAAACCGACAAAGGGCCAGTCAGAGGGAGACAGATGAGAACTGTGTTAAACGAACACGACTATTCAGCTTTCCTTGGGATTCCCTATGCGAAACCACCACTTGGCGATCTCAGGTTCAGGGTAAGAATCACTAAATCTATCATTTGAACGATACAATTGCGTCTTCATTATACCAGTGAATGGAAATAAAGATGCAATGTGAAATAAGGTAGCTTTTAGAAATTTATTTGTTTTATTCTGAGCATGCAATTTTATCGAACGTATGGCCACTACCTACAGGGAAGTATACTGGGTTCCAAATCCACCAGAATATTATTGAAATTTTAATCTAAATTCTGTAATCTGATCCATACGACTATCTGTGTAACAAGCATAGACCAACACACGATTGTAGGACCCTGTTGAAGCAGAACCTTGGAAGCACGTGATAAATGCAACAGTCGAGGCGCCATTATGTATGCAGAAGTTCCTCATTGGGCCCATTGGAAAGGAAGATTGTCTATACCTAAACGTATACACTCCTCTGGTAAGTATTCACGATATTACATCATATCATACATTTTCATGTATATTCATATTTGTGCTTTTATACAAAAAAAACATGCATTACTTATGGATCCAACTTGTTTACTTTCGAAATTTTCATCTCTGTCAATAAACTAGAATTACGAAAATAACTGTGGACACAATACTGTTTTACTTTTTGCAATCAAATCGAGACCACTGGAGTAATAGTAATCGTGAAAATAGAAGACAGTACAGTAAATATTTTTTTATTAACTTCTTCCTTACCGTTACAGTGAATTATTTTCATAAATTTTATTGCAATTTCCTGTATTTCAAACGAGGTGATTCTAAAAACTCTGAAAGTTATATTAAATGAATATGTATATTTATACACATAGGTGTTACAAAGCAGTTGCGTTATATATTGTACGTGAAAAGTATGCAAAGAAACAATAGATGTGGATCATTGTTGGCTCGATACGTTTAAATTATCACATTATCGTGATAAAACCTAGTTAACATTATACAATGTTCTCAATGATCGACAGACCAAGTTCACTGGTAAGACCAAGTTGAAACCTGTGATGGTTTGGATATATGGCGGTGGATACATATCAGGAGGCAATCGACAAACCATGTATGGTCCAGACTGGTTCATAGAAGACGACATAGTCATGGTAGCCATGAACTACCGTCTTGGACCTATGGGTATTCACGAAATGTCTCAATTTGAATTTCAAAATCGATTATGTGAATCAAGTACAACTGATTCTTTGATATCGTAGGTTTCCTCGCATTGGGGCTTCCCGATGCGTCCGGTAATCAAGGTCTGAAGGATCAGAATTTAGCTCTGAAGTGGGTGCAAAAGAATATCGCCAAATTCGGAGGCGATCCAAACAAAGTGACGATAATGGGCGAAAGTGCTGGTGCCTCTTCAGTGATATTTCATATGCTATCGCCTATGTCGGCTGGTAAGATCACTAATATTATCTTTGCAAAGTCGTGAATGTGAGAAATGAATTATTTATATAGTCTAGAAAACGCATTCGGCTAACTTTGTATCGTTTGTCTTCAGGCTTGTTCCATCAAGGTGTTACTCAAAGCGGTTCTGCACTCTGCGCGTGGGCGTACAAAACTCCAAAAGAGTCTCTCATGATAGCTTATGAGTTGGGCGCAGCTATGGGATTCCCACCCACCTCACCCGAGACACTTCTGGAGAGGCTAAAGAAAGCTAGAGCCTACGATATCACTCAGGCGTCTGACAAAGTGCAACTAATCAACGAAGTCGTAAGTTTCCAATAACTATTTTGGAGATTATTATCCGTCCATTTTCATTTTTCTGTGTATCGTTGAATGATCTGTCCTCCTGTTACAGACTCCGATGTTGGTACCGTTCGTAGTCACGACTGAACCTAAATCTGACAATGCTTTCCTGCCTAATTGTCCAATATCGACTCTGGAATCAGGAAAGTTCAACAAAGTTCCTATGTTGATGGGTTACAATGCACAGGAGGCCATTTTATTCTCAATACGTAAGCATAAACGTCACATTTTCGATCCTTTACGTATTCATTTCAGAATTCATTGCATTCAGTTGCACACTGTATTATTATTATATCGAATTCACAAATTCTGACCATTTGGACCATTTTAGTAGTTTTAGTGTTAAAAGAGAATCAAAAGCAATATCTTTGTATTATAAGATTCCAAAACAAACGTTTTATTTCTGGACAGTGATTTTCATTCACCGTTTGTTTTCTTTCTCTACTTGCAGTGATAGAAGAACTACGCCAAGAGCTGTACATGCACATGAGGGCCGTTAATAATGCCATAGATCCAACAGGTTCGTCTCGACAGTACGTAGACATATTGGATGCGATCAACAACGGCACCGAACAAGAAGTGATAAAGGTAATTCGTTCGTTACTTGCTCATCGATTATACACCATTGAATTAAGTTTTTAATTTCATTTTCTCTGCTCTTAGATGGCAACCTCGTTCTTGTACATCGCGCCTATCGACCTCACGCAAAAGTTACTGACCAAACACAGCGGTGACAGACCCATTTACTACTACCGACTGTCGTTCAACACAGACAAAAATTTCCACAGATATATCGAGCCCCAACTTGAAGGTGATTAAATTTTTCCTCGCTGTTCGTAGCAGCGTGGTATCATCAATGTATTCTTTCGCGTGTACTTACCGCCATATTGGCGATTCTTTTAGGTACCTCTCACGAAGACGACCTTCCGTTGCTGTTCTACATCCCCCTGATCAATCCTACTGATCCGGATATTGAGTATAACGTGTACAGCAAGAGAGTCGTCTCTATGTGGACGAACTTCATCAAATACACGTGAGTAAATGCAGACCAAACGTAGATACGATTTTAATTTGATTTAAATATTAAATTGATTAACGTTATTTTACGTTTGCAGGGATCCCACTCCAAGTAATAATACCGTGAGCAATGCAAACTGGCTGCCATCGGGCAAAAAGGGAATGCAACTAGATATTGGAAACGAAGATTTTGTAATGTACGACCGTCTGACCAATAAAATGGACGAGGACTTTGAGGATATAATTTCTAAGAAATTGAAGTATGACAGTGGCTGCGAAGGCGATAATGCGAAGAAGATGATTTCACCATAATTGATAGACGTAATTAGCGTATAATTACCATAGCGTCCGTGGCTACTTATCATTAGGCAAAACACAACGTCAAGATTGATATTTATTATTCTAAGAAAATTTCGTATTGATTGCGAACATAATATTAGTCACTCTACAGTCACACATTCGTTGAAATTCTTTCGAACCAGTACCTTTTGATATTAATATTTGGTAATACTGTCAAGATGTTATAATATGTTTATGTACGCTGAAATGGAAATAAATAATTGCAAAACTAGATTGAATTTATTCTCTTTCCTTCCAAATATTTATATTAAAACAATATGGAAGGATTTATGTTAAATATGAGGATGCGTATATTTGTTTAGAAAGATGCTATTTTTTTTGTATTAAAAATACAAAATGCATAACCGTTTGGTCGACAACATGGATAAGTCTTGAATCTGGCTGTAATGCTGGTTCCATGTACAAAATACTTTCATTATTATTAATAGATGCTTTTAGTAATTAAATTTCCTAGATAAAACGCGAGCATTTGGACAAGTGTTTCATTAACATTGGTAATTCACTTCGTTAGGTAGTTTGATATCTATTATGCTAACAAAACTTCGTATCACTTTTTCATTGGAAAATTAGTTGCTCGTAAAACTATGTATATAGCACATTCTGTTTTGAACGCGTACCATCCTATATTGATACTTACGTATTAAAGTAATTACGTAATTATGCGTTGACAAGATAATTGAAATCGAAGAAGCAAAAAGAAAGTAAGTAATTGATTTTGTTGCCTAGTATGTCTAAATTGTTTAAGGTCATCTAGGGGATTAAAAAGTCGCTTTATCATTGTGTGTGAACAGAGAATCAAGTGCGACACCTTTATTTGCACAACCGTTAACAAGTCGTGCGTAACTTACCTGCGCGCGGAGAGTGTATTATGAATAGTTCGTATCAAGGCAAAACGAAATTTAGTTATGATTACAGGATACATTGAACTCCGAGTGCTTAATGAATACGTTGAGTTAAAGAAAGGCTTACGTCATTATGAAATTAGTTTCTTTGTGAATTTATCTCGATGACATTCTTTCAATTCTCGAACGATTAACGAACAACAAATTTCAATACGACATACTGCTTGTGTACTCATAATGATTCAACGTGTGCATGTTTCAAACCTCTTCGAACCCACAAAAACATATTGAACACAAAGGGGCTACATGGGTCAACAATGTATCATATTTTTGCTGTTTGGTGATTAATTGGAGTTATTATTTATTAATCAATAGTTTCAAAGATTCGATTCCTGCGTGCAAAATATATTTCGAGTCATCGTACGTCAAACCGTGAAAGTTTTTCGCCGTAAAGATTAGAATGTGCTACTTTCCGTGGGGAAAGGATGTGGTACGTCAGCTTTCGTAGAACACCAAACGTGCTAATATTCGTAGGAAACGATGAAATGTACTTTTTTATTTGACAAACCGAAACGAGCTGTCCTTCGTAAGAAAAATGAAATGTGTTACTTTTCGTAACACACGTTGGAATATGCATAACTTAACCTCGTTTTTCTAAACTGCACCATAACTAAATTGCCTAATAATATGCTTTATCAATCGTGTTAATTGTTTATATTAATAATTGAATGTGTTTAGTAGAATTTAAAACATAGCAGAACTATAGAAATACTAAATGTTTCAATTGCTGAACGAAGTAGATACCACATACTACGGATCTGACTCCTCCCACGCATTGAAGTCTCCCAAGTAAGGCATACGATAACGTTACGTTCATGATTTTATTCCACTAAAACTGGATACGTTATTGTTCTAAAATTGTCTCTGTATAATTAAGAGTTTATTCTGCAGTCAATGTAAACATTTCAGACCTTTAATTTTGAAAATTCACGAAAATGAAACACTTTGATTGAACTTTAAAAAATCTATTGCCAAAGTGAGTCACATAGAAGACTTGAAATTCACAGTATTAAAAATTGCAAAGTCATTCTTTCTCTTTCATATCCTGGAGGAATGCAAATTACAATAATAATTAATCATTTTTATATCGATAAAATGAAGATAATTGAAGATTTCGCGATTTTCATAAACAACGGAGTTCGCCAGAAGCTTTGCAACTGTTTTAACAAAAACACAGACGATGATTGGTCCCACCCACAGTCTCGGTACATAAGACTAATTGTAATGTTGTTTTATTGCCATTTTTATCATTCATTCTTTTTTATATTGAAAAGGCAGTTCGTGCAAGCCTGAACATCTAATCAAACAACAAATCCAAAATCAATGAATAAATGTCAGTCTTTTCAAGCACAGTCAACTATGGGCAAATGAAAAAGTCAAACTACAATTATATTTGCAATTGTTTTTGAGCAATGGCAAATTTTTAGTTGTTAGAACTACGAAAACAGAAATAAAAAATGGTATTTGAATAACTCTAAAGAAGGAAGTAACCTAGAGAATAGTGTCATAATAAGAAATGAAAGCTGATTCTGCTAACTCGAAGCAAATGCGTAAAAGATCGAGGAATCAGGTATGATTCAATGTTTGAAATGTAAGGCGTGGTACCACACAGGTTCTGTAAATGTTCGATGAAATATTACTGTAATAAATCGTCTGCAGATATTGTATATTTATATAAATAACATGCAAAATTAATGTCATTTGCGTGACAATCTTCGTTAATGATTATCAGAGAATACTATTTTACAAATTAATTAAAATCAACGCACGCTGAATGGTATTTTTCTTTAATCTATTAAAACATAGTACTTTTGGTATTTATAGTGTCCTTCATTGTAACACCGTCGTTATTTCAGGCTCGTCTAAATTTATGTCGACACAACTGAGCATATAAAAGTTTTGATATAATTCTCGATCAAGGCCCAATTGCATGAACTCCGATGAACGCAAGACGTTTCGATTATTGATTAAGTTTACCTACTAATTATAAAATGACGATAAGATAAGGTCACGAATATTACCATTTTTGATTAAAATTACGTAACTGCGACCACCTGAAACGCGGATATCACGAGTATATAAACCGGTGCATGATCTATACCAACCATGTTGCGTCGTGTTCACGAACTTCGAGCAAAGATGAGGTATTCGCTGTTCCTGGCCATTGCTCTACTCGCAACGGCGGTAAAATGTCGAAATTTGTCGCAAGTCGTGCAAACGAACAAAGGGCCTGTTCAAGGTGTCGTGCTGAAGACTGCATTTCATCAAAAATCCTATTCTACCTTCTTCGGGATTCCCTACGCGAAACCACCAGTAGGCGAACTCAGATTTAAGGTAAGACAAGATATTACGATCTTCTAAAGGATCTATATAATTTACACAATATTATTCTACCGATGTATCTGTATAAATAAAATTGTGAGATGTTCTACAATTTTTAAAAAATTCAAATTTAGGCGTATCAACTAAAAATTGACTAAATCAATTTTTATAAAAATTTCTTTTACAGCTCTTCAAATTTTTATATTTATCGTATTATTCCGTAGCAATTTAATATTTGTTTTTAAAATACTAAATTCTAATTAGAACTCACATAGAATTGTAAATTTTTTTCAAATATGACAAGAAAAGATCTAAATTCAAATATTACATTTTACTAACTACAATTTACCTCAACAAGCGTGACAGAAGTTAAGACATGCATAGTGATTTTTTCTCAGACAAATTAGAGCTTTTTTACTGACACTTAGAGACATTTTGTACTGATTATGAGATCCATTCTTTTACCTGTCAAATACAGGCCCCGGTTGAAGCAGACTCGTGGACAGACGTGATAAATGCTACACAGGAGAGTCAAATGTGCCCGCAACTTGTAAATCAATCAGTTGCTGGAGACGAAGATTGTTTGTACCTGAACGTATACACACCTGTGGTAAGCATTTGATATTAATTTCATATAAAATATTCCATTACTAAATTCTAAATAAAATAGACAATTTTTTTGTTACCCCATTCATATGCCATTTTCGAATTTACTATATCATAAATGTATTTATTGCAGTTGGATTTCAATAGTAATATACAGGCGCTGAAACCGGTGCTGGTTTATATATACGGTGGTGCTTTCCAAACGGGAAACGATGGAAAGGCTATGTACGGACCTGATGGGTTCTTGGAGAAAGATATTGTCATGGTCGACATGAACTACCGTGTCGGTGTTTTAGGTACAGAGAAAATGTTATTAAACGATTCGAAATTTAGGTAGAAAACGATTTATCGCGAATTTTCTTAGGATTCCTGGCATTGGGAGTCCCCGACGCGCAAGGAAATCAAGGTCTGAAGGATCAAAACTTGGCTCTGCAATGGGTGCAAAAGAATATCGCCAGATTTGGCGGTGATCCTAATCGAGTGACTTTGATGGGTCAGAGTGCTGGTAGCGCGTCAGTGACGTACCAGGTCTTGTCCCCGAAATCTCGCGGTAAGAATGCTCGTAACATTTTTCAAAATTGCAATTGGCAAAATACTTTGCATCAGGGATAAGCAAATTCAACAACAGTGAATCTTTCCTGTCAGGTTTGTTCCAACAGGCCATAACTCAAAGTGGCACTGCTCTGTGCTCGTGGGCGTACAAGACGCCAACTTTTGCTCTTTGGAACGCCTATGAGTTAGGCAGACGGATGAACATGACTGTCCGCAGTACCTCCGAGCTACTGACTAATCTGATGAACGTCAATGCCACGGACCTCGTAATGATTGGCTCGGCCATGTCATACATGAATCTACCGGTATGGTCCTAACATAGAGCATTTTCAGGAATAAATTACGAAAAAACCACCCACTGAATCGATACAATTTTTATTTTATTAGGAGAGTAACTAAATTTTTGAAATTTTCTAGCGAAATTTAAATAAGCTAATTATAAAAATCCCCCTTTAAATTGCCAAAACCGAAAATTTGCTTCATGCATGATCAATTCTTCTGTTAAAGATTCCAATTAACATAGCGTTCGCGCCTACGTCCGAAGTAGGGGGCAATGTTCAAGATCCGTTCCTGACCGACTGTCCTGCGTCGTACTTCGAATCTGGAAACTTCAGTCACATACCTGTTTTGATGGGTTACATGTCTAACGAGACCATTTTGTTCTCGACTGGTAACGATCAATTATTCTTTCGTATTTTAATTTTTATACAAATATCATTCTAACATTTGAATATCAACTATCATTTTTCCGTACGATAGGCTTAGATTTCAAACGACAGGCACTCCAAGACAAATTACAAGGTCTCACTAGCCTATTGGATCCAACCGGTGTGAACGATCTTCTCTTACGTACAGTAAACTCTATCGTAAACAGCACCGAATGGGAACTCATAAAGGTATTTCTATTGTGATTATTTTTATACATATTTACACTTCATCTCAACGATCTCTTTTCCCGAATTTCAGGCCTCGACTTTGTATTATTTCAAATCGCCCATCGATCTCATGCAAAGATACTTCGCTAAGTATAACGAGGACAAACCCGTCTACTATTATAGTATGTCGTACAGTTCGCAGTACAGCGACCACAGACGATCCGACCCGAACATAAACGGTGAGTAATCCACTAATATTTATACCGTTTAGTAGTTTTCTTTGCTCTTGTATCTTATAAAAACCCTAATTAACTATTTTAGGCGCTGCTCATGGCGACGATCTTCCTCTGTTGTTCCTGATGGACGGCTATCCCACCAATCCCAATAGTACATACAATAAATATTGCGATAGAGTCAATTCGTTGTGGGCGAACTTCGTCAAATATGGGTAAGGGTTATAATAATTTTCAGAAGCCAAAAATAATATAGATTATAGAGGGTTAACTCAAGACAATCTTATTCAGACAAATTTGCTTTTCCTAGAATCTAATGTCATATTACGTTCACAGAAATCCCACTCCACTGAATTCCGACCAGAATAGCACATATTGGGCACCTTCGGGACCAAATGGATACCAACTGGATATCGGAAACGAACAATTTGTAATGAACAACCGTTTGTTGACTTCGAGCGACGAACTCGTTCAGAAGACGTATTACTTTGGCTTACCTGCCGTCACTACCTGTCAGAATTATCCCATAAACGTTACAAGACTGTTTGAATAGACGTGTACAGAGATTTTTGATACATTTACCATAAAATTTTGCTTCGTAAAGTGTTAAATAACATTGTCGACTTTTAATCGTAACTTCGTCTGCAACTATAGCTTTCTACATGATTTCGATTTTGATGTATACTTTATAGAGTATTCTTAGAATTTTTATCAGAGTGGACTGATGTTGACTTGCGTGTCAAATTTTGTACCCAAGACTTGTTTCTAACTTAGAATATAAGTTATATTTTTCTTAAACAAAAGGCTGCACGATTGTATTTGTGTGTATTCTAAGATGGCATTATGATAAACTTAAAAAAAATCACAATATTAAAGGACAATTTTTTATACCGCATAAAAGAAATGAATAAAAAAATGGTTTTACAGTAATAGAGTGTTGTATTTTTCCTCCAAGGTGAATTTGGGGTATCTTTTATTCTCGAAAAAGGGACATCGATAAGAAAATTGACGTATCGTGTTTTGCAACTTGCTAAAAAAAATATTTTCTTTCGCGATAAACGTTCGACGCTTTTGCAATCGACAAAATCAATACCGTTGGAATGTGACGAGTTAAGTACACTACGTTCGAAGTTCAGCTGATGGTACAATAAACCGGCAGAAAATAATAACAATTTCGCAAGTTGTGTGGCCTGACGAGTCAAACGATTTCAAGCAATTGCGTTCGCTTCAGAACGAATTAAAACGATCGAGGGGATATCCGACGCGTGTATTGTAATTTTTCGAAGATGAATCGTACAATATGGTGCACTTTCGTGTTATTAATATCTTGGACGGAGCGTCTAATCGCTAATTCGCGTCGAACGCCCGTGGTGTATACGAACAGTGGACCTGTGCGTGGTTTGACATCGCACACTGTGTGGAACTCGATCGAATATTCGTCTTTCAAGGGAATCCCCTACGCGGAACCACCCACTGGAAGCCTTCGATTTCAGGTAAAGAACCGCGAATAAATTTTTGGAACAGCAATGTATTTTTTATCTGAAGAATTTTTTTCTAAGAGCATTAGTTTTCAAGATAATTTTTGTATTTACACTCACAAAAACAAAGTGTCACTTTTGACAGCTACAAATAGCTACAAACCAACCATGTGGTTTTATGGTTTGAACTGAAGTTAGTTGCATTTCTGAGTCTCTAAAATATGAATTTTTTGACCACTCTAATACTTGGCAATGAAGTTTGGTTTTTAAAAATTTTAATGATCACTGTGCAGCCTCCAGTGCCCGTGAAAGCATGGAACGAAACGTTAAACGCATTCCAAGAAGGAAACGTGTGCCCTCAATTGGGCTTAGAATCGGGTGTTTTTATGGGAAACGAAGATTGCTTGTTCCTGAACGTTATTACTCCCGAGGTAAACATTAAAACAGTGAAATTATGCTTTAAAACTTCCCTTCTACTGCCATAGGGACAGCATATTCTAATTTGAGCAAAATCTCTAAACGATCTTGTATTATCTTGTACTAATTTAAATTACGATAGACGCAGTTCGAGGACAAAATGAATTTGAAACCAGTCATGGTCTGGATACACGGCGGTGGATTTTTAGGTGGAAGTAGCAACCTAGCGTTGTACGGGCCTGATTTCTTCATAGAAGAGAACATAGTCATCGTCAGTTTCAATTATCGCATCGGTGCTCTCGGTACAAAAATTTTCTTTAATTCAAACTTGATTTCCTTTGATTTGGTCCAAAGAATTCGATTCAAAGTTCTATAATTTTGCCAACGTTTCAAATTATAACAATTCATTTGTCGATACATATTCTTTGTATCATTTCATTTGTATGATTTTCCAGGATTCCTAGCGTTGAATCATCCACGAGCAACGGGCAATGCTGGCCTAAAGGATCAGAATCTGGTTCTACGATGGGTGCAGAAAAATATTGCCGCGTTTGGTGGGGATCCAAAACAGGTGACGATTTTTGGCCAAAGCGCGGGGGCTGTATCCGTGGGTTATCACACGTTGTCGAAAAAATCGAAAGGTGCGTACAAAAATGTTCGATTCTTTACCAACTGGATCACAGAGAAATATTTTTGTAAATATTTGCAATCGTACTAATTACCACGAAGCTATTACTAACAGAATCAACCCCAAAGATACGTAAAATCGAAGTTATAGTTGCTTGAGAAATATTGTCGATAATTATTAAAAAATTTTGAATTGATTTTCATCGAGAAGATGTTACAGATATATTGGTAATATTGTTGTGAAGATTTAAACATTCTTCCATTAGTAAAAGAAATATAAACAAAAGGGATTGATTCTGTTACTTGAATTCGGGGTGAAAATTGTCACTAAACAGCGGAGATTATTGCATTACCATTCACGATGGGACTATAGACATCTGTCCTTAATTTCGATAATTGTTAGTTTTGTATAGTATAATCAGTAATAGTTGTTATTCATAATATTTGACTAGCTTTGATATATCATTCGATCAGGTTTATTTATACGATCGATCAGTATGAGTGGCACACCTCTGTGTGTGTGGGCATATCAGACACCACAGGAAGCCACTGCTAATGCACACAAACTTCTGCGTATTCTTGGTCACCTACCGAAGAACAAAAATGACATACTGAATTTCTTTCTCCACACTCCTGCCTCGGATATTGTGATAGGAGCTACGAAAGTGTCTCTGGTAATATCATCAGTATTTTTTTTACTACTAATATCATTCACGAAGACCTACAACCGTGGTCGAAATAAACTGTTTCGTCCAAAGTTGCTCTTAGATGCTAAAAAGTAATATTTATTTGCCCTCGAAGCCTCGTAATTCCGTTTAAATAGCACGCTAATTTTTTTAACAATGATCACGATAATAACTTCATTATGCTTTCTTTACAATTTCCAGAACTTCCTTCCATTTCGACCGACGATAGAGAATCCTACCATCGCGCCTCGTAACAGTGCATTTTTGACAGAATGTCCAATAACGAAATATCACAGTGGAAAATTCTATCAGCATTCTATGATAATGGGTTACACTCGCGACGAGATCCTTCTGTTTATGGGCTGTGAGTATCAGAAATGCTACTAATCGAATCGATATTGTCGATAGAGGAATTGCGTTTTGATTGCTCAAAATGATGATGAAACCTAGCAATAAGGGCCATACATAGGCGTCAGAGGGTCAAGCATTGTTACTACTTAATTCTACAACGAAACTGTGTTATATCTTGCAGTTAAATTCAGTCAAGTGAACACAACAAAACAGGTCATCAAGCTTTTACAAGACAGAGCCAAATACGAAGAGAGCAACAGTGTCAAAACCAGGAACCAAATTGCAAATCGTCTGAGGAATAATTCTAAAACGACTATCAACAAGATAGTAAAGGTACAGCCGTGGCAATAATTCTAACACATATTAATTAAATTGTTATGTAATAGTTAAAGAGACCAAAATTTCTGTCAGGTTTTGACAAATTTTTTAAATGTCTGATATCAGGAGTTTCTGCAAAATTTATGTTATTTGCAGATTGGAACCGACTTTTTTTTTAGAATTCCCATCGACTTGACTCAAAGAATGCTGGCGAAACGTAACGAAAATCATTCCATTTATTATTATCGACTATCGTATCAATCTGAATATTCGATGCACGGATTGTATGATAATCCTCTGAAAGGTACGTTATCTCGTTGATATTATAATAAATTATATACAATTTTATATTGTTAATGTTTCTTTGGCTTAGTAGCTTGAGTATAACAAGAGGAAATACCTATTCTTTTAATAAATGGTACCTCGTATTACTTTGACAAAAAACTATCATCACGAACCGAAAAATTAATATTGCATCGAATATGGTAATTTCAGGAACAGCCCACTTGGACGATGTTGGCTACATATTCAACGTAAAACAGTTACAAGCACCTACCAATCCTGCAAATTCCTTCAATCAATTTCGAAAGAAAATGGTTACTCTGTGGGCTAATTTCGCTAAATACGGGTATTCAATAATCTGTAAAAATTGCCTTTAAAATACTTTTTGCTATTGTAAAATAAATATACAAATAAGTTTAATGTCTGATATATATTTCTTTTTCGTTGCAGAAACCCAACACCGAACAATACGAGCGACCTGGTCTGGACAGACTCTAGAACCTCTAGATCACAATTGGATATCAATGAAACCTTCACCATGCATGATCGTTTGATCGATGGAAGGGGTGAGAACTATGAAAAGGGTCTATACACTGCCTTGGCACTCGTCAGTGCCTGCAGACACAAACCGGTGGATTACAAAAGTATTTTCTAATATTGTTACTGAAATAAAAGTCCCTTTATTTATTTTACAACATTCAAACGCGTCAATTCAATTGATACAATTCAACTGCAGCCAGATATATAATGCGCGATAGAATAGACCAATTTTTGGATAAGAAGAATCCGTTCGGTTATCACATCATTACGATTCATCATGTCGAAAGTTTCACTGATGTTAAATACTCGGCCATCTTTTCCAGATGGCTCCCAAATTACGCCTCCTAGCTCTTTATCGCCTTGCGGTGTAGGATTCCTGTAATGATCGCCTTGTCTTACACGGAATATCAATTTTTGTAACGACGAATAGGATACGCGAGACTATAATCATGTTTAAAAGTTTGAATGCCTAATAATCAAGAAGTTCGCAACTATGAAACTCCAAATGACTAACGAACTATCAATCTAACAATTTAAAAATCTGTGATAGTCCATGTGCTTATAAATTTAGGAATGCAGGAGTCTGAAAGTTAAAAGCAGATTTTATGGATTTGACTGGATTTTTCTCTCGAAAATCTGTAAGGGCCGCATCTGTGAAATTCCTCGCAAGAAATCAACAATAAATGTTCAGCAGTAAAGTACTTTACCCATATTTGGCGAAGTTCGTCCACAACGTGACCACCTTACTTCGAAATTGATTATAAGGATGTTTTGGATCAGTGGGAGCATGCAATATTTCCATGTTGAAAATGAACGAGACGTCATCATAATGGCTAGCTCCTACAACATAAAATGTCTTGTTATCTCGTAATCTAAAAATTAGATTTCAGCGGGACGGAGAATTCAAAATGTTTACCTTCTATTGAAACGTTAGCCATATGGTGAAAGGCATAGGGCGAACTGTACGATATTTGATAAAAATAAATAGGATGGCCATCGTTATTCTGTTCTATTAATTCTCGAGTGAGATCGATCGGTGCCTTAAATACGAACTCTTGTCCAATCTGCAAGCATTAACGTTTACAGTCTAACATATACCTAAAGGACCTTTGCGTCACACTATACACGATTGATTCAATTTTTTGTTGTATATTTGCTATAATTCAGATATTAACATTACCGTCAACAGTTCATTCAGCGGACCATACCAATACTCAGGGATGAACGGAATATACTCGAAGAGTGTGTTCCATATTTTTGCGAACCTATCTAGTATTCGATAAACGACTGCAATACACAAAATAAAGAAGCGTGAGTAATACTAGATGAGACAACGAATTTGTGTAATTTTTAAAACGTTACAAATTAAGTTCATAGTGAGTATTGTCATTAACGAGGTGTACAAGTACACTCGCACATCATATTTTCGGTAAAGAATTTTTTTCTCAACACTGCGTAGGATTTTGGTGGTATGTATGTTCACTAAAAATTATTGCAATTGACTCCCGCAACCGAAAATAATTTTTTTAGAACGATCTGAAATTTTTTTTTTCGTCGAAAAATTTAGGCATCTATTGATTTTTTTTCTCGAAAGTGGTTAGGATTTTGGGGGTATGTCTATTCACTAAAAATGATTGCAATTGACCCTCGCAACTGAAAATAATTTTTTTAGAACGATCTGAAATATTTTTTTTCGTCGAAAAATTTAGGCACCTATTGACTTTTTTTCTCGAAAAGGGTTAGGATTTCGGGGGTATGTCTATTCACCAAAAATGATTGTAATTGATCCCCGCAACCGAAAATAATTTTTGCAAAACAATTTGAAATTTTTTTTTTTCGCCGAAAAATATATTGGATGTAAGGTTTATTTGCATACCTCGTTTGTGGTATTGCACCGAGGAATTTATAATCTAAACTAAGGTTTACACTTACAGGGCAAAAACGTAATGTATTCATCTTTGGCGAAACCCAACATTACGTCGTATTTGTGGAATTTTTCACTTTCAAGCACCTTTATCGGACATTCGGACAGGAATATGTCTTCGGGTGCAGCGAGACGGTTATTTTCCGTCGTAGGGGCAAACGGCAGTGTAACCTGCGAATGTACATAAAAAAAAGAATTCCGGCGACCCACGTACGATGCTTTCGATTACTCGAAAAGAACGCAAGAAATTTGGAACAGTAATCTTTTAATTAATATCAACATATTCGATCCAAATATCTTACAAGACGCGAAGAACACGAATGCCTTGGCAGAATGCCTGAATCTCACGTATGCAGTGGCCACGCCCATAGTCTCTGTTTTCTGCACGATATCCTGGGCAGGTGCACGAAGTAAGAATTCCAGGATTTCCGCTGGATTTTGTGACGTGAACCCGAGGGTAGAAGCGAGCCTAACAGCATTATTCAGCGCCAATTCTGGCGACGAATAGAGAGGGAACATCGGTGTACCGCTTTGGGCGATGATCCGATGAAAGAGCCCTGTAAAACATACACAGAGTCCAATATCGACACAATTATGACACCAACACGTTCACTATCTCCATTCTACCACAGACCACGCAACATTTGTTATAAAACTCGCTTTAAATTCTAGTAGAAAATTCGGTACAAACCTATACATTCGAGACGACCTAATATATTCCTCAGAAATTTCAAGAATTAATAGATTAGCCTGTACATTTTTGAATAGTATAAAACATCGAAATTACATTGTACCTCGCGAATGTTCTGACAACAAGTGCAAAGTCACGGACGTGGCGCCAGCACTTCCCCCAAAAATCGTCACTCGGCCCGGATCACCCCCAAACGCTGCAATATTTTCTTGAATCCATCGTAACGCCATAGTCTGATCCTTCAAGCCAGCATTGCCTAACGCGTCAGGATGATTCAAATTTAAGAATCCTAAAATTTCAAGTTTGGCGTCTCAGTTGCAGCTAAACGAAGCTGTTCGAGTGTCGTGAGAAAGTTATTACCGAGGGCACCGACGCGATAGTTGATGCTGACTATGATCACATCTTTCTCTATGAAGAAATCCGGACCGTAGTACGTTGTGTTGATGAATCCCGAAACAAAGGAACCACCGTACATCCACACCATAACTGCCCGTGGAGTCATGTTTCGATTAAAATTCGTCTACCGTGAACACAATATAAAAGAACCTGATCACTCGGTGGAACAAATATTTATTTTTATTCATTAAAATGATGTACGTTATATCAGAAGCAGATGTATTTGTAATAGTTTCTTTCGACCTCTTTTCGTTGCACTGATTGCACACACTCTATGACATGTTTTGTATCAACTTCTGCAAGTCCTGTATCTATGCAACAGTTACTCGATACTATAGACATTTTTCTTGATTCGAGACTGATCTCCCTTTCTCCTTACAGTACATTTCACAGTATGTTGTTATCACTAAAAATCACCTCAGGAGTGAATACGCTCAAATACAGGCAGTCCTCGTTTCCCATGTAATGGAAATCGCCGAGGAATACTTGAGGACATGATTCTGGCTCCTCAATGGCGGCCCGTGTTGCGTTCCACGGGGTTGGCGGCACAGGTGGCTACAATAATAATTTTATAAACAAAGAACTATTAATCAGTGTCGATTTAATAATACAATTACTGAATACACGTGTTATTTGTAGATAAAGTAAGATAAATTATAGAATTATTCTACAGGTACTCCGTCTGCATCAATAATCGGTTTCAAAGACCGTGTCCTGGGCAAAGTAACTATTTTTTATCCGCCATGCTATCCATCAACCAAACGACAATTTCTACAAACTTAACATTTTTCAATTAATAACTATGATTCAGCGCAAATATATCAACAGAAATTGGCTGTAATTTCTTGATGAATAATCGACTAATTTTATTTAAATTTTTGAGAAAAATTAATCGAACGAATTTGGAACCTGTTTAACACCTAAACTATTATTGACTGAGTCATAGAAATATTGATAGATCTCGGCCCATAAATTGTAAAATCAACAAGATATTATCGTTTGCAAAATTGGGCCAGTTGTTAAAAAATCGATGAAAGTATTAATCTAGTAATTTAATTAATATTTTTTCACGCGTTTAGGCGAATACCTTGAACCTGAGGCGACCAACAGGTGGTGTTGCGAACGGAATTCCTTTGAACGAAGAATACTTAATCGAATTCCACACGGTGGACAAAACAGCACCTTGCACGGGTCCCAATTTCGTTTGAATCGCGGGAGTTCGTATCATACCGAGAGATCGATACGACGATGATAACGATACAAGTGTAAAAAGGATTAAGACGTTCATTATCGACAGATTTTCTAGGACAAATGACTCAATCCTTCAACATAGCAGAATCATTTATACTATCCGGAAGAACGATTTTATCAGCAAAAAACGAATTGCAGAATGATCGAAGAGATACAGATACTCGCTGTTTTGAATATTCTATTAAATCAGATGGAATAATTTGTTCCCATTCTTATCAGATTCAAAGTACATTTTATAATGCCGGTAACCGCGCCGTTAAAATGCAATTATACCCAAGGACAGTATTGTTGTTATTGAGATTTATCATAACAACTTCCCGAGAACCGACGACTTGTATTCTCTGTGAGTAAATGCCACGTGCATGCTAAAAAGAATGCTAAAAAGAATACTAGAAAAACTAGTAATTGTTCCTAAACATTTCTCTAACACTTATACCTGTGTGGTTCTAAAAGTTTATACTATCAACTGATCCTGTAGTGTTTGAAATTAAAACTAAATCCTGGGAGAATTTAATTATTTAATTATTTATATTATATAACGTTTAGTTGATGACTATGAATCTGCAAGAGAAAAACTATGGAATTACAAACATTTTATAATATAAATATAACGTGACAAACGTAACACTAGCAATTTTGTAAAAATAATAATTTTACTAGCTTCGATTGGAAGTAGAATTCTGTTAAATATATTTTTCTAAAGTGGATGATGACGAATGATTAAAATGGTATTGTACATACTGTTCGTGAAGTTGATATGCAAAGAAAAATTATCATAGATAACGCAATCGTTCGATACATTTTATTTACACAATGTACAATATGGAAAATATTCTAATTATAAATACTGTATAATTAAATTACAACAGAATCCTATCGCAGTCAGAAACATAGTGCAGGGTGTAATGCATGATTGATTCGATTAGGAGAATCCGTTCAGTCATCACATCTTCATGGTTCAACATGCCAAAACTATCGCTGATGTTAAATATTCGACCGTCTTTCCCAGACGGTTCCCAAATTACGTTTCCTAGCGGATTTGCGCCTTTTGGTGTAGGATTCCTGTAATAATCATTCATAATCAACCCCCGTATAACACAGTATTAACAGCATGACACCCTAGAAGCATAACATTTCGAATCTAAAACTGTAAAAGAGTAGAAGTAATCTAATAATCTAGGAGTTTATGTGTCTAGTAGTCTAGAAATCTAGGAATTTATTGTCCAGGAGGCTAGAAGTCTAGGAATGAGGGAGTTTGAAAGTTGAAATCATGTCACTAAGGAATCAACAATCTAAGGATTAAATAGTTTTGTCTCACATCCAGAAATCTGAAACTGAAATATTTGTCTAGCATAAAAATAGTGTACCCATATTTGGCGAAATTCGTCCACAAAGTGACCACCTTATTCCGAAATTGATTAAAAGGATGCTGAGGATCTGTAGGAGCTTTCACACGCTCGATATTGAAAATCAGTCCGATATCGTCTAAATGACCAGTTCCTACGATACAGATGAACATTTCGTTATTTCGCGATCATGTATCTGCCATAGAAAACATTTGGTTCGAGCAAGGTGGAAAATTTGAAATGTTTACCTTCACTCGTAATGTTGAGCGCTTTGTGAAGGAGATAGGGCGAATTGTACGATATTTGATAAACATAAATAGGATGACCATCGTTATTCTGTTGCATTAATTTTCGGGTGAGATCTATCGGCGCCTTAAAGAAGAAATCTGTTCCGATCTGCAAACATTAACGTGAAACCTGTACGAGTAATATCATCGTTTACAACTCTGATTGCGTTGTATAACTGATTCAATTTTAAATCTTTTTTTTCAATATTTGTTATAATTATGGACGTTACCGGTATTATATTATCTATCAGGCCATACCAATCCTCAGGATAGAATGGAAAAGCCGTGAACAATCTGTTCCATATTTTCGCGAACGAATTTAGTATCATAGGAATGTCTGTAAGATAGGAGCACGAAAAGCTTAATACAAATTTATTTTGTTTGATTTTAAAATTGCAACGACTGGCTGTTACGGAGTTAATAAAAACGGGATTAATTAACGCGAACACTTACAAAGCCAACCTGTGATAACTTCACTGTCGTTGAAACCCATCATTATGTCGTGTTTGGTGAATTCGCCACTTTCGAGCAACGTTATGGGACACTCATGCAGGAATATATCTTTCCGCGATGCGATTTGGGTATTTTCTTTCGTGGGCCCAAACGGTAACGAAACCTGTGTAAAAAACAAAAAGAACTCTCCAAACCGGATGGTCGACTACTTTTAGGGATCAGAATATTTTAGAAACTTCTTTAAATTTTTTACTGTTCGAGTAAAACGAAGAACAGAGTTTGACGTTCAAAATGGCCACCGAGTGACAACTCTTTCGGTCGAGAATTTGAATGAAACTTCTTGGACAAAGGACCGGGGAAATATCAAACTATGTTTCTGTGACTTCACGAATATTTCGATCGAATCATACAAATGCAGTGATCACGTTCACGGTGTCCGCCGCTTCCACGATATTTCGGACAGGTTGATGACGCAAGAAATCCAGAACTTCACTGGTATTTGATGACGAGAAACCGAGGATATTGGCCAGTCTAAGAGCATTACCCTTCGATGCGCTTGGCGCCCCATAGAGAGGGAACAACGGTGCACCGCTTTGGGCGATGATCCGCTGAAAGAGACCTGTAGTAGATACAGAGTCTAATAACGACGCAATTATGACACCAACACATTCACTATCAAGCGTAAAATACGCTTTAAACTGTAGTAGAAAATTCGATACGAACTTATACAGGGTGTTAAACTCTGGAAAAAATTTTAATGGGAGATTCTAGAGACCAAAATAAGACGAAAATCAAGAATACCAATTTGTTGATCGAGGCTTCGTTAAAAAGTTATTAACGTTTAAAGTTCCATCTGTAGAACAGCAATCTGCGAACAGCTGCGTTGGTGGTTCTCACTTTAAACGTTAATAACTTTTTAACGAAGCCCCAATCAATAAATTGGTATCCTTGATTTTCGTTTTATTTTGGTCTCTAGAATCATCCACTAAAATTTTTCTTAGGGATGGTCCAACATCCTGTACATTCGAAATGACCTAATATTATTCCCCAGAAATTTCAGGAATCAACAGATCAGCCTGTACGTGTAATATAAACATTTTCGAGTACTAGAAAGCATCGAAATGCTTCCGTACCTTTCGAATGCTTTGACATCGTGTGGTAAATGACAGACGCGCTGCCAGCACTTTCCCCAAAAAGCGTTACTTGGCCCGGGTCACCCCCAAACGCTGCAATATTGTCTTGCACCCATCGTAACACCATCGTCTGGTCTTTCAAAGCGGCGTTCCCCAACGCATCCGGATGATTTAGATTCAAGAACCCTGAAATTTCATGTTTCGCCTCGTAACTACAATAAACAACTCTGCCTTCTTATGTGGGAAACTCATTACCAAGAGCGCCGAGACGATAGTTTAAAGATACCACAACCACATCCTGCTCCATGAAGAAATCGGGCCCGTAAAACGAGGTGTTGATGGATCCCGAAACAAAGGAGCCACCGTACATCCACACCATAACCACCCTTGGTGTCATGTTTCGATTAAAATTCATCTAACGCGAACAGAATATTAAATTAAATTTTTTTAAATTAAATTTTTTATTCGCTAAAAAAGGTGAACGCGTCTTTGAGGTTACGTATATTTAAGTTTTGAAACTAATTAATACACCTCATTTTATGACTAGTTTCTTCAACAAATTGCTGTTATATCAGAACCAGATTAATTTTTAACAATTTCATTCGACCTCTGTTCCTACTTCTAATTACACAAGACCATATAATATGTATTGTAAAGAAAAATCAGATCTAATGGTAACTCTAAATCGTATTAGGTCAGACATTTCAGTCAGCTTTTGTAAGTCTTGTATCTATGCAATAGTTCCTCGATACTATAGGACATTTTTCTTGATTCAAGACTAAAAATCACAATTTAATATTTTGTTTCACCTCAGGAGTGAATACGCTTAAATACAGACAGTCCTCGTTTCCCAAGTAATGTAAATCAACGATGTCTAGTTGGGGGCATGCTTCGGGCTCCTCAATGGCATCCCGTGTTTTCCCCCATGGCTCTGGTAGCACAGGTGGCTGCAATAATAATTTTATAACCATAGACAGAGTTTCCAGGTGTTCTAGATTAAACGCTAGGATTGTGGTGTGCTAAAGTGTGATGTAATGAAGTAATGCAAACGAGATACGTCGAGGTGAATATATTAAAGCATTGATGAGTGTGTGCATTACGTCACTATGAATGTGCTTTGCATGCGTTATATGTGTATATATATAGCAATCCAAGGATTGAGCTCTAAACTGGAAGTTTTCTATTTTCGAAATATCAATCGAATTTGATTATAACGAGCATGAAGCAGCATTAAGGTTGTAATTAGCAAAAATCAATAATCATCTTCGTTTACAAGTATTCTCGTGCAATTAATCACTTCAAAAATGATATAAAATGATATTTATTTCGTTTTTTACAACTACGTGAGAAATAGAAATATTGATAAGTCGAGGAAAAATACTATATTCGAACTATCATTTAGTTAGCAAAAATGTTGAATGGACTGTTTGAAATTGGACTTACGCTAATTAAATAAATGTTATTCCTATACGAGTTCTAATTTTAGGCACCAGAAGGAGTTCGTGCGAGTTTATATCACAGATTTTAAGTAATCATAACGCTACAAACTCACCTTACTGTAACTATAAGTGAACTATTAAATTTAATTCGTTCACCAACTGTATCCTTGCATAAACAACACAATGTTGAAATAAATTAAAAACTTGATGAAACTTTGATACGAACACTGTCACGATGACCTTTGATAAATTTCATTCTAACAGAGAAAAATCGCACGAACATTTTCCTGTACCTTAATGGTCGTTGTTTTCGTGAACCACAAACTTCACCTTAAATCTGAGGTTTCCAACGGGCGGTGTCGCGAAGGGAATGCCTTTGAACGAAGAAT